ATTAATCAAGACGAGAAGTTTGAGTTTTTCTCTCTCTTTTAAAAAGAAGTAACTAAATTAATCAAGACGAGAAGTTTGAGTTTTTCTCTCTCTTTTAAAAAGAAGTAACTAAATTAATCAAGACGAGAAGCTTGAGTTTTTCTCTCTCTCTTAAAAAGAAGTAACTAAATTAATCAAGACGAGAAGTTTGAGTTTCGATATCTGTTTCAAAAACACAACTAAATAAGTAAACATTTACTTGAGTGGATTATGATCCAATCAGATGAAAAAGCAGCTGATCAGGATAAACGTTCTTAAGAAATGATTAACCCGATTATCCGTGAGAGATGTTTAGAATTAACTGAGGGATTTGGAACATTACAAAAGGATTTAGATATGCTGTTCTGAGGGGAAAATTCCAGTATAGAGACATTTCACTAATCGGAGAAGATAAGTAGATGGCGTTAAGAGAGGATCTTGAATATGTAGGTCTATTGATAACTGGAAAGGTTTAAAAAGATGTACTGGGAGAGGAATTTATGGGGATTCCTAACTCATTGGAGAGATACATAAAGTGCTTTACGAGAGGATTTTGAGTATGGAGATCTCTCATTATTTGGAGAGGATAGATAAACTGTATTGTAAAAAAGATTTTGAGTGTAAAGTTCTTTCTTAACAAATGAATTCGTTGGTAAGAAAGGTGAGAAAGATACCATTGAAACAGTATGAAGGAATAGTTTGAGACTTTGTATGTGGAATTATAAGAGAAACAGAAGACCCCGGAACTTTGAAAATGTAGGCAAGCTAACTGCAAACATGATTACATTACAATAAAATGGATTGACTTGAGAAAAATGTCTAAATATCGGGGCTCTAACTACATAAACTAAAGATCTAACCGCGATATAGCTTCAGGAAATTGATAATCGGTCTGAGAGTATTATCATTTAATCTTAAATCTTTATCTTAACCTACCAGTAAACTTATGTACATCTTGGATTATCAAATAAAAAGGTGATGTATCGAAGACAAACTTTTTAAAAGAAACAATATATATATTGTTGAATAGGCCTAATATCTGTGATCAACCGAAAGGAACATAAGAAAAGAAAAAAGTGAACATCTGTAGTTTACATGATTCTTCTAGGAAATGTTAGGCCTAATGGTTTCCAGTGCTTCGCCATCTTTTGACTTTAACTTTGAAATATATATATATATATATAATGCTGTTGAATAAGAAAATGTCATTTGCTCAGCAAATACATGCATCACTATATGGATAACGCTTACTGTTTATTTATTTAACCTTACTTTGGAGTCTTCTACTTTTTTTCAATCTTTTATGAAAATAAAGCCTCCTGTATAGCAATATAACGACTTTTTTTTTCTCTCGCTTACGTATAGTGTTAGAGCAAGATCTTCATCCTCAGCCAGCCAGATGAAGCAGTAATCCGTACAAGTATACGTGATGGCCAAATACACCGCTGATCTTCCTTCGTATATGTCTGTTTCATAAGCAAACATTCTGAACAAACACATTTCACGAGTTCGGCTCTCTGCCTATACTGTGCCACGTTTTGTTGAAGTCCACCAACGCCTCATCTACGGATGTTCCGTTCCGAAGATGTTCACCAGTGCGGTCGCAGCCCCTGGGCTGCATGTACGGTCGGTCCCTGGTGACCACCCGGCTGACCCATGCACATGTTCATATAACCAGGCGCCGGTCCCCCCGGTCCGCCGCCTAGAACACCGTTTTGCGGCAACCCGTTGCCAATCTGGTTGTACGATGGATTAGGATAGCCGCTCGCGGATGGAGTATAGGGACTGACGTTACAGCTAGTGGAGACCGAGTACGGCGGTGCCGGACAAGGCTTTCCATCCCGCACAAGCACCGGAACAGCGACTCGTCGGGGAGGGTGCATGTTAGCGGCTGTCAGCTCGAGACTCTTATCCTGTCGTTGCCGTTTGCACTTGTATCGGCGGTTCTGGAACCAAATTTTAACTTGAGTGGACGTAAGCTTCAAAAGACTTGCAAGCTGCTCGCGCTCCGGAGCCGACAGGTACCGCTGCTGCTTGAAACGCCGCTCCAACTCGTATACCTGGGCTTGTGAGAACAGTACACGCGGCTTCCGACGGGTCCTCTGCCGCTGCCCGGAGTCAGAACTCCCGGTACCGCTTGCAGATGTTGCCGAAGACCCAGAATTAGTGTGGAAATTTCCGGTCGAAGGTTGTGACGTCAAGAGACAACTGGATGTTTGTTCTAGTAATAACAGAAAAATTCCCATAAATATTATTACAAACAATAAAATATCATAACATACCCTATAATGATGGTACTCCGAATAGAATTAAGAAAGAAAAAGAAAATATACATATCTAATCATTATTTATTGATTATGCAAAAAAAAAATGTTTAAAAAAATAACAACAAGAGAAAACGAATTTAAGGTTTAAGGTTTCAGTAGCAGCAAAAAAAAAACACATCTAATAACTTTTTTTTTTTAAATACCGAATCTTGTGAAATACGGTCATGATTTCTTTTTAGGGTTGGTGGGTGTGATCAAAGGTTTTCCGCTGTTTTGTTTTACGAGAAGAAAGAACTTGGACATATTTTTTTTTTATCAAGCTTGCACGGCATGCATGTCTAACATACTGAGCAAAAAGAAAAAAAAAAGACTGCTGCTCTACCGGCTTTTTTTTTTTTGACGTTATCCAGAGGAGGGGAGGGGGTGATCCTAGCTGTTGAAACAAAGTATTTTTTTTTCTTTCTAGAACTTCATAATGACGTCTTTCATTAAATCTGAAGATCGAACGTTTTCCGAAATAACACATACTAATCAGAAACCCGAGTTTTGTTGGAATGCCGTTGTCTAGAAAGCGTGACTGTGTTCTCGACGTAGACGCTTGGAATCTTTTCTACTCAAGCAGCTTACCAAATGTTGGATATATCGTTGCTTACGAGACTAACTTAAACAAATGATGTTACAGTTGCTGTCAGTTCAGCTCGTTCTCCGGTAGCTCAGCGGCGATCTTGAGGGTTTTTACACGCTAGAATTCGATCCCCGTGGCGGATACTACAGCACAGATAGCTCATTGTGCAGCTTTGTCTTTAAAAAACAAAATAAACCGTTCGTCCTTCCGTATATAGTTTAATTATTGATTCAATAGATGGAGCCACACGCCAAATATGCCCATTACTTAACCCTACAGTATCTTGAGTTCCTCCATGATAGATTTCCAACTAAAACTCTAAATATTATTATTATGTACCTAACTGATTTTCTAGAAGAACAGCGACTGAAGTGTATACTGACACGTGCTTTTTTTTCCTAGTTACGATGCACTGTTTCTAGTTAATATTACGCTAACGTTCGTCGCAGATGTAACACAAACATCTCGATAGCGTAAACAGAACGAACACCTCCAATATGCACATTTGTAAACATAGACAATCTAGAAATCGCAAGCTGAAAGGATACTGTTCCTCGCATGATGTTTAAACACATGAAAGATGGTTGCCACGACCACGCCCATAAGTCTGATAACTTCAAGATTTGACCACAGGAGCTCCTAAAACCCGATTTCAGCTTCAGAAGAACAAGTAATAAGTGAATGAATTACTTTTACAATTGCTTAAACACGAAAAAAGAAGCACTAGTCAGATCTAGAATCAAAATTACATTAAATCTTTATGACATGATCTACTTGAAAAAAAAACTGATTATTATAATCCTTTAACAGTTACGACTGTTTAAAACGATGTATAAGTAAATTTGATAACAAGGAACCCCCTTTGAGACTACTAACGTTTAGAGATGTACAAGTAAGTTTGATTACAAGGAAACCCCTTTGAGACTACTAACGTTTAGAGATGTATAAGTAAGTTTGATAACAAGGAACCCCCTTTGAAACTAATAAAGCTTAGAGATGTATAAATAAATTTTCAGCATTACTTAAACTATCGTTTGTTTTTCTTCTTCAGCTTACGAACTTTGCCGCTTGTCCAACTTTTGACTTAATCCAACAATAATGTGACCTATGACCAGTTAGCATTTGGACCATTTAATTAATATGACTACAATCCGATTCGCTCTCAAACTAATCCAACAATATAATCACTACACGGCTAGTTCCGAGGCTAATCCAATAATGTGACTGCTGTCTCGTTAACCTTCTGATCAATCCAACAATAGGACTACAATCTGACTAGCTCTCAAACTAATCCAACAATATAATCACTACACGGCTAGTTCCGAGGCTAATCCAATAATGTGACTGCTGTCTTGTTAGCCTTCTGATCAGTCCAACAACAGGACTACAATCTGACTAGCTCTCAAACTAATCCAACAATATAATCACTACACGGCTAGTTCCGAGGCTAATCCAATAATGTGACTGCTGTCTCGTTACTCACTAGTTTACTCGCAGTTGAATTCAAATCTAATCACTATATATATATATATATATA